AGAAGAAAGTTTTTGAATAAGTTTTGAAAGAGTTAAATATAAAATTTGTAATAATAAATGACGAGAATCATTTTTTTCATGGTTTCTTAATTCATCCCATTGATATCGAATGGTGAATGCTACATTATGGTAAAAGCGAAGATTTTGTATTACTGCAAAGAAACGTTCGAAAATTCCAAGTGGTCTAATTATATTTGCCATTTTTTGTTAATTTGTATATATGCGAAAAATATGAAATATATATAAGAACTTAATAAATATTGTTTAAATAAAATAAATTAAGTCGTGATCCGTGAAACTGCTTATATTTTATATATGTAAGTCCAAAACTATAGCTGCTACAAAGAAAATTTTTTTTCGCCATGTCTTAACTTATCACATGAATTGGTAATATTTTCGCTGATTTACATAAATCTGCTCCATAATTAAATAGTATCTCGCAATCTATCAATACATTACGCCGATGCGAAACTCGCATCTCGTAACATAGATATTCAACCCCAAATCGGAAGGCACATGTAACTTGATTTGTTTCTAATGATCACAGCGATCTAATAAGGAAATATTTATTCTTGAATTAAATCATAAAAAAGGGGATCAATAGATTAATTGTTTTTTCTAATTGTAGCATAGCATTATTTATACACAGCAGTGAACGAAGGAACCATATAATTTTAATAATTAATTTTCAAATAATATTTATTAATTATCAGTAATGTGTAAAGAAAAACAAACACAGAACGTGATTAAGCTCACTAATAGAAATAAACGAAAAAGAATTAAGTGAAAGTGATTTAAAATTTATGTATTTCTATTTTCAAATATTCTTTATTATTATTATTATTTAATTCATTCAACTTAAATTTCAAAAATATTTTACCAATCATACCCTTTTTATTTTATTAATGAATAAGTCAAAATTGTGTCCACGAAAATTAGGACTACACAATACAATTTCTATCATTTTAATTATTTTAATGCATATTTTATTTTATTTTATTTTCAAATTTACGGATAAAAAAAAATTATAAAAATGGAAAGTTTCCAAATTTAGCATGCTTATCAGAACCATTCTTGCTTTTTTATTGATTAAACTATTTTTTTTTGGATTATAACAATAATTTAAATTTAAAAATACAAATAAGAAATTCCAGTTATTTAAGAGATCACGTAAATTACTTAGGGGTAAATTTTGATTGGCTATAATTCGGAAATATTTCACGTGCTGCTTATGACAATTGTATATGATTTCTCCGCAAGTAAAAAAAATAAATATTGATATTCGAAGGGTGTGATGTGTGGTGATAAATACACTACTTAATCCCTGCACATGTCATGAAAAAATTTCTGGCGATACTGGGAAGCTGAAATTAACACAACCTAAAGATGGATTTATTCATGTCATGTAAATATTTGATATTTATTTTTGGATAGATATATGTTCAATGGTAAACTAAAAATTCGAGTTAATATAAATCCCTGACATGAATTTTTGTTATATTTTTATGTTAAATTTAGGATCTACTCAAATGGAAGGAGCATGATTTTAAATTATTTAAACCATTAAATGTAAATTAATTTATTAAATTATTATTAAGCAAAATCCTGCATTAAGTTATATCTTATTTTCTCATGTGATTAATAATAACTTTATTTTTTAGCCTCTAAAACATTTCGATTTGTAACACAACTTTCTGCTGAAAACTAGAGCCGAATTAGTAACAGAAGAATTCTTGGTGACGAATTAGTAGAGTTCAAGCATTATTTAGTTAAGATTCAAATGTTAAACCAGTTGGACATTATACAAAAAAAGCGGTTGAAAATTTTATTAGATCGAAGTCAAATGAGAATAGAAAAGAAGAAACCGAAACAAATAGTTTCACGGGAAGACAAATTTAACAAATTTAACAAATTCAACAAATGGTACTACGGATTAAAAGATTTTTGGGCCAAACTTTTAGCACATGTTCATTACTACTCAAAATTAGAAATTATGTTAGGAAAGGAACTAAAAATAGAAAAGAAAGTTGTAAGTATTCAATTATTAACGTTTATTAATTAAAGTTTATTAGAATTAAAATTAATTAATTAATTAAGGTTTATTGGTGAATGAAATTAATTTCAGAATTATTATGAAGGAGGTCATCTTACATCTAGAAGACCAACCAAAAGGAAAGAAAAAAATTACATTGGATCCTGATTTTATTCCAGTAATATGGGTGATTAATTACCGTAATTCGTTGGCAAAAAGCCTCGGGTATGTTGCGCCCACCCTCCAAAAGCTTCAGTTGTACTCGGTTGGATATTTTGTATGGGAAGGATATGGACTCTATTACTACTATAGATACTATTATATATGCCATCATCGCTTAATCAATATACTAAACAACGCAACTAATTCTAATAAGAAAATTTAAATGTTCCTGTTATTTCTGAGATTGATGATGGCGATATTTAACTTCTCCTTCTTCGTCGTCAGCAGCATTTAATATTCCTCAGATAAATCATTATCCATCACACCAATCAAGACAACAAATAGTAATTATAGTAGATGTTGATGATAATATTAATAATATTCTCATATCAATAAACAAAACAAACAGAACAAACAAGATCACAATAACAATAAAAACGACAATAAACAAGATAATGAAAAGAATAATTTAAGGCATTAAAAAATTATCTCCGAATAAGAAAGCTAGTATCAATGCTCAATTACGCTAATCAGAGAAGATGACATTAAATTATTTAAATTAATTGGAAAAATTATTTTAAATTAAATTAAATTACGAAATTTATTGATTAAAATTATTTAATTTTATATATAAGCATGTAATGATGATGATGACGAATATGGAGCTTTAATAAACAAACAATGAGAAACAACTCACTTAACTTCCAAAAAAAATGCAATTATATAATATATAAATAGTATTAACTAAAAATATAGGTTTCCAAATACAAAATTATTTAATTCAAACAATATAAATTTAATTAATTAATTATCCAAACTGTCTATATATCTATTTATATCAAAATTTGAAAAAGATTCATGAATTGCTAAACTATGTTGCATTAAAGGCTTATAAGATGTTTTTCAGAATAAGTAGCTTCATTATGCAATGGTTCAGAATCTACATTTTGCATTTCATGATCTGCATTTCAAAACATAAGTACCTTTTCCATTTTTCTATTATAAATGTATCAGAAAAAGTTACAAGCCTCAATCTTGCACCCGATTATATTCCATTTATGTGGTAACCAGAGCATTACCTTTTTTTTAAAAAATCCAATGAGTCTTGCTCCAATAAACTTTTATTAATAAATTAGGTGTAAATTTTAAAGATACATATAATTTATTTTACATTTAT